TCTGACCCTACAATCAATGAGTAGTAGGAGGGCTGAGGAGGAGGGGCTAAGTAGGTACTTAAGGAACGGTCGTGGTCGGAGCTCTCTCTCTCTCTTTGCTCCTGCTCTCTTGCTGTGGCCTTCTTGCTTGGCCTTGCTGTGATGGCCTCTGAATAAAGCTCGGGTGTTGGCACCTCCTGGTAGGCTCGTCTCTGTGTGTTTATCTGGGTAGGCTCCTAAGACTGGTAAGTATGACTCTGGCAGCCTGCTCCTTATGGGAGGAGAGTGCACGGCGTGGCCGGCACAATAAGAGACTTATTAAGGTTGAACTGTTTACATTCTAGCATGGAAAGATGATATTGGTAGCTCAAGAGACCTTTGTCAGTATTAGGGTAGTTGGAGGGAAAACAATTGTATGTATGTATACATGTACATATATATATATATATATATACACACACATACAGATAGATAAATAGAGGAAGGCACAGGGTGAGTTGAAGATGAAGGGGTCATATCTGGAAAATAAAATTAAGGGGTGAGAGAGGATTATACTAGGAGAAGAAGAAAGGGAGAGGTAGAATGGGGCAAATTATCTCACAAAAAACGGAAAAGAAAAGGCTCCTACAGTGGAGGGGAAATGGGGGAAGGTGAGAGGGAATGAACATACGCACTCAATTGGGTATAGAAATCTGTCTTACCCTACAGGTAAATGGGGGGGGAAGGGGACAAGTGAGTAGGGGGATGATAGAGAGGAGGGCAGATTGGGAAAGGGGGCAATCAGAAGCAAATACTTCTGAGGAGGGATAGGGTCAAAAGAAAGAATAGAATAAATCGGGGGGGCAGGATAGGATTAAGGGAAATAGAGTTAGTTTTTCACAGCATGTCTACTATGGAAGTGTTTTTCATAATTGCACATGTGTAACATATATTGAGTTGCTTGCCTTTTCAATGAGGGTGAGTGGAGAGGGAGGAAGGGAGAAAATTTGGAATCCAAAGTTTTAAAAACACATGTTTAAAAAAAATGTTTTCACAAGCAACTGGGAAATAAGAAATACAGGAAATGGGGTATAAAAATCTATCCTGCCCTACAGAAAAATAGAAGGGGAAGGGGATAAGAGAAGTGGGGGAGAGATAGAAGGGAAGGCAGACTAGGGGAAGGGGTATTCAGAATGCATGCCATCTTGGGGTGGGGGGAGGGGCGAGATGGGGTGAAAATTTGGAACTCAAAATCTTGTGGAAGTAAATGTTGAAAACTAAAAATAAATAAATTTATTAATAAAAATAATAAAAATAAAATAACTGCAGATAATATAAAATATTTGGGAGTCTACTTGCCAAGATAAACCCAGAAACTATATGAACACAGTTACAAAACACTTCACACAAATAAAGTCACATCTAAACAATTGGAAAAATATCAGTTGTTCATGGGTAGGCCAAGCTAATATAATAAAAATGACAATTCTACCTAAATTAATTTACTTATTCAGTGACATACCAATCAAACTATCAAAAAGTTATTATATAGAGCTAGAAAAAATAATAACAAAATTCATCTGAAAGAACAAAAGATAAAGAATATCAAGGGAGTTAATTTTTAAAAATGCAAAGAAAGGTAGCCTGGCCATACCAGATCTAAAACTATATTATAAAGCAGGAATCATCAAAACTATTTGGTACTGGCTAAGAAATAGAGTGGTGGATCAGTAGAATAGATTAGGTATACAAGACACAGTAGTAAATAATTATGGTAATCTACTGTTTGATAAATCCAAAGCCTCCAGCTTCTGGGATAAGAACTCACTATTTGACAAAAACTGCTGGGAAAACTGGAAAATAGTATGGCAGAAACTAGGCCTAGACCAACATCTCACATCATATACCAAGATAAGGTCAAAATGGGTACATGATTTAGACATAAAGGGTGATACTATAAGCAAACTAGGAGAACAAGGAATAGTTTACCTGTCAGATCTATGGAGAAGGGAAGAATTTATGACCAAACAAGAGATAGAGAACATTATGAAATACAAAATGGATAATTTTGATTACATTAAATTAAAAAATTTTTCCACAAACAAAACCAACATAACCAAAATTAGAAGGAAAGTAGAAAGGTAAGAAAGTTTTTAGAGCAAGTGTTTCTGATAAAGGCTTCCTTTCTCAAATATATAGAAAACTGAGTCAAATTTATAAGAATACAAGTCATTCCCCAATTGATAAATGGTCAAAGGATATGAACAGGCAGTTTTCAGATGAAGAAATTAAAGTTATCTATAGTCATGTGAAAAAATGCTATAACTCACTATCGATTAGAGAAATGTGAATTAAAACAACTCTAAGGTACCACCTCATACCTATCAGATTGACTAATATAACAGAAAAGGAAAATGATAAATGTTAGAGATGTGGGAAAATTGAGCCACTAATGCATTGTTGGTGGAGTTGTGAACTAATCCAGCCATTCTGGAGAGCAATTTGGAACTATGCCCAAAGGGCTATAAAACTATGTATATCCCTTTGATCTAGAAATACCACTACTAGGTCTGTATCCCAAAGAGATCATAAAAAAGGGACAAGGACCTACACATACAAAAATATTTATAGGAACTCTCTCTGTGGTGGCAAAGACTTGGAAATTAAAGGGATGCCCATCAATTGGGGAATGGCTGAACAAGTTGTAATATATGAATGTAATGGAATACTATTATGCTATAAGAAATGATGAGCATGTGGATTTTAGAAAAACTTAGAAAGACTTACATGAACTGATGCAATGTGAAGTGAGCAGAAGTAGAACATCGTACATAGCAAGAGCAACATTATATGATGAGCAACTGTGAATGACAACTATTCTCAGGAATACAATGATCCAAGACAATTTCAAAGGGCCCATGATGAAAAATGCTATCTGCCTCCAGAGAAAGAACTGATGGAATCTGAATGCAGATCAAAGCATACTTAATTTTTCTTGTTTTTTTTTCTCTGTGTTTTCTTTCACAACATGCCTAATATGGAAATGTTTTATATGACTGCACATGTATAACCTATATCAGATTGCATGCTGTCTCAGGGAGGATGGAGGGGAGGGAAGGAGAGAATTTGGAACTAAAATTTTTTTAATGAATGTTGAAAACTTGTCACTTAAACCCATTGCCTAGCCAAAAAAAAACCAAACAAAAAAAAACTAGCCTTATATGTAATTGGAAAAAATACTATTTACAAAAAAAAAATTAAAATTAAAATAAAAAAAGAAGATGGGATGGAATGGGATTACTTGTGCATGTAGAAGGGATTGCTTTGATAAGAAGAATGGCCACATCTTTATATGATGAGGCATCTGAGTGATGTGAAATGAGGAGGAAAGAATTGGGAACTCTTTGCAAATGGCATTTTTCAGTGAAATATGAAGAACATATATGTGGAAGTCTTTTAGAATGAGGTTAGAATTTGGGGAGGAGAGAAAGATTGTGAGCCAGGCCCGGAATTCAGTGAGGCAGAAAGGAGAGAGTCTTGGAATATCTTATATATAAAACTTCCATTGGCCTTTGGGTAATTAGTCTTTTTGTTTCTTTTGAGATCTTAAGTGTTCTGTGGTTTGCTGTCATATTGCTTATCCAGGTAAATTTTGATATTAATGTGGTAGGCTTTTGCCAGCTGATGTCTGGGATCCTTGAAATGATTTCCATAGTAGCTTCTTGATAAATATTTACTAAATTGAATTGAAAATCTTTTGAATTCAGTATCCTCATCTATAAAATGAGATTAGATGAAATGTCCTCAATGGTTGTTTCTAGCTCTAAATCTTACGAACCCTGAATTACCTTATATTGAGTGGAAACATTCACTTCAGTGTGGTATGGAGGAGAGCCTGGGTTTTCAAAGGCTCTGCCAGTTCTGCTAGGCCTTATTATAAGCTGAAGGAGGTCATGAAAAGTTATACATGACTGAAACTACTGAACAACAACAAAAATGCTGAAAAGGCATTGTCCAGAGGACAATGAGGAAACTGAATTCAAAAGATTTTCAATTCAATTTAGTAAACATTTATCAAGAAGCTACTATGGAAATCATTTCAGGGATCCCAGACATCAACTGGCAAAAGTCTACCACATTAATGCCAAAATTTACCTGGATAAGCAATATGACAGCAAACCACAGAACACTTAAGATCTCAAAAGAAACAAAAAGAGTAATTACCCAAAGGCCAATGGAAGTTTTATATATAAGATACTCCAAGACACTCTCCTTTCTGCCTCACTGAATTCCGGGCCTGGCTCACAATCTTTCTCTCCTCCCCAAATTCTAACCTCATTCTAAAAGACTTTGGACTCTGGACATTACTCAGCTTGGGTTGGTATTCTTAGTGTTTTGTCCTGTATTAGATGAATTGTTGAACAATTAGATGAATTGTCTGAGTACCTGCATTGGAGCCAAGGGTCCTTTTTACCTTTTCTACAGATTCAGACAACAGTCAAATTTTGATGGATCCAGGGGAAATCTTAGCAAGCTCCAGCCAGTGATTTGTGATATTCCTCCCAGGATTGAACCTGGTCCATGTAAATCCAGAGCCTGAATTTTACAACACATACCTCCTACAAGTAGTAAGGGATAACCTATAGTAATTGAACTTGCGCTCGAAATCCAATTTAATTCGATCTAACAGGCATTTAAGTGTCTCCCATGTGCCGTTACTGTACTAGGTGTTGGAGATAGAAAAGGCAAAAAAACCAAGCAAACAAAAACCCAGTCCTTGCCTTCAAGGAGCTTACAGTCTATAGGTTGTGTGACTGAGGGCAAGGAAATTAACCCCTCTCACCCTATTTCCTCCTTTGTAAAAAGAGAGCGTCTCTTGCATATATATCCAATGATCTTGACCTAGAACATCCATGTCTTCGGACCCCAAATTTAGGGTTTTCAATTACTCTGAGCCACTCTCGGGCCTCAGTTTCCTCCTCTGAAAAAAAGTGGATGACAATCCCCGCACCTCTGTCCTCGTGGTACTAGAGCAAACTTACCGCTCGGAAAGCCTGGGGAGCGCTACAGTGAGGTCCGGGGCCCAGGGATGCAGGCGGGGCGTGGCCACGAAGGCGTGGCCAGGCTGGGAGAGGTGGTCAAGGCCGGCATCTCCTCCCGTTTCCCAGCATGCCCCTCACCAAAGGCCCCGCCTCCTTCCCCCAATGTGGGGGAAAGGTCGACGGCTACAGCTGGGGTAAGACGAGGGCTGACTCGCCGAGATGGAGGTCGGCACCGTAGCTGAGGATGAGGTTGAGACGACGGCGGCTCACATCAGCCCCTGGAAGAACTTCCTGGCCGGAGGCTTCGGCGGCGTGTGTGTGGTGTTAGTGGGCCACCCACTGGACACGGTGAAGGTGCGAAACAGACTTACTCCGCCCGTCTGCCGGCCTGGGGACTGTCCGGGAGTAGGTGGAGGGAGGGAGCGGGCGCGCTGCCTGTGATTGGGGAGGTGGTCGAGGGGCTTCCTGCTGCTTCCGCTGGGGGACGGGGGACGGGGGACGGGATGAGGAAGAGGAAGCGGTGCATGACGGGAGTCATTGCACCTTTGAGGAATTAGGGATGAGAGGGAGGCACGGAGGGACTGAGGGACAGACGAGGGTGAAGGTCGGGACCAGTTGGGCATCTGCCCCTGAGTGGGCTGACATTGCATAGCCCAGGAGGGGCATCTTCCTCTTTTCCTACAGATGAGGAAACTGAGGCCCAGAAGAAATAACTTGTTCGTTGCCTGTGGTCAGCTTGGGAGTGAAGGCCTCTCTTCTGACTTAAAGGGCCTCGTTTTCCTCCTCCGTAAAATCGAGATACTAGTCTTTGACCTCCGTACCCACCCACGTTGTTGGGGAGTTCTGATAAGGAATATGATGGGGCAGTGTGCCTTTGACAAGACGTTTCACCTACTGACTACCAGGGTTATCTTCTTCCCCCACCCCCAGTCTTTCTCTCTAGGCTTTTCATCTGTTCCTTCACACTCTTGATTCTAAAGGGTAGAATTGTCAATTTCCTTCTTGGTAAAAATGAGGAGATTGGACTAGATGAGCTCCAAAGCCTCTTCCAGCTCTGAGATTCTGTGAATTTTTGGGAGACCAGATAAGAACCCAGTGGAAATTGGTTCTTAGTATTCTGCAACTGTGTAAGTGGACAGATGAAGGAAATTTATTCCTAAAGTGTGCAGGGTTGGGGGGGGAGGAGAGGGTATATGCAAAGTTTAGATAAGACCCCGCCTCCATGGAGTTTACTGTTCTTTAAGGGGATAAAAAAGAAGAAATCATGTAATGTGTTGGAAGATTTATCTTTCTGAGTTCAAATCTAGTCCCAGACACTTACTAGCTGTGTGACCATGGGCAAGTCACTTAACTTTGTTTGCCTTGGTTTCCTCATCAGTAAAATGAGCTGGAGAAGGAAATGGCAAACCACTCCAGTATCTTTGCCAAGAAAACCCCAAATGGGGTCATGAAGAGTTGGACAGTATTGAACACCAGCAAACATTAGAGATATGCAAAATTAAGTGCTATATTAGGACTGGTTAAGAAAGGGAGCAGAATTAAGGCGCTAGAAAGACAAAGTAACTTGATGGAAGGAAGTGTGCCTTTGAAGGATGTTAAAGATAAGATGCCTGCCTTTCCACTAGGGAGATTTCTACTTTCCACTAGGGAGGATTTTCTTTATCACCCATGAACTTTGTGTGCTAAAGGAGCTACCCTTTTCAGCTCTGTCCAAATGCAAAGCTTTCTCTTTCTGCCTTTGTCCACCCTGTGCCCTTGAATGCTCTCTCTCTCCTAGTCTGTTGAATCTGTCCTTTCAAGCCCAATTCAAGTACTACCTCATCTAGGAAACCTTCCTCAAGCTCCTTGTGAATAGAAATCTTCCCATTCATACCTTTCATCCCACTCTTTGGGAGTATGTTTTGTATATTGTGGTTATCTATGCTTGTTATACAATGTTGCTATATAATGTATATTGTGGTTACCTATGCTTGTACCTTACTTCTCTGTATACTATAAGATTCATGAGAGCAGAGATTGAATCATATCTAAACTTGTTTTCATCCTCAGCATCTAGCATAGTACTATGCACATAGCTTTGGGCACATAATAAATATTTGTGGGATGAATGAATGGAAGAAACAGCAGTAGGAGGTTGTGATCCTTAGACTCACAGGTTTTACAAAAATATAAATAGCACTAGAGAATCTTGGTGTTCTAGACCAGAGGTACCAAACTCAGGCCTAGTGAGGCTGAACCAGATGAAAGTATAATTGGGAACTGTTTAATAAAACAAATAAAAATACAATACCATATAGGTAATGTTAATTTTGTATTTTTCTTAGTCAACATGTGGCTCACAGGATCTGTTTCTATTTGAGTTTAACATCACTGTTCTAAAAATACTGTGGTTGTTGATGGTTTCCAGGTATAGGGAAAGAGACTATAATAATCCCAGATACAGAATAGTGAGTACAGAACTCAGAATTATATTAAGTGAGGGGTGAATACCTTTTATTAGATCAGGAAAGTCTGCTTTCCTCCTAGTGTTTGGAAGCTTTTATGAGCCATTTTAAGAATGTTTTCCTTTATCCTTACCCATAGACAAAATATAGTCTAATGAAGTGTTGTAGCTTGTGATTTTAAGACTCTCCATCTCACATAAATTTGAGCTTAGGAGAGGCCAGCCTCTTTTAATCTTGACTCATTGCATCATTTTTGTGTTGTCTTGTGTTATTTTTCTTGCTAATCCTGTTTTGTAGCTTTGAAGGTGAGGGATGAAGATAGGCAAATGGAGGTGTCTAAGTCCAAAAAGAGCTGAATTCAAAGAGTTAGTAAATCCCATTGCTTGGCTACTTGTTTGACTGCTAAAATCCTACTCAGAAATGAACTAAGAAAGGAAATGAAGTTTAATTCAAACCCACAAGCATTTATTAAGCTTTTACTTTGTGCTAGGTATCTTGCTAAATGCTGGGGATACAAAGAAAGGCAAAGATAAAAACCATTGAATTTGCTAATTCACTTATCAAACTTTTTTAACATCTTCTGTTAGAGCACTGTGCTTGACACTGAATCAGATAGAAAGTTTAGAGACGATAAACCTTACCCTCATGAACTCTACAGTTTCAACACAAGCACACATAATTATTCTATGAAATATCTCATAATAAGTGGATCCAAAGTTGTAAAACAAGGTGCTTAGTGAGTTCTTAAGGCAAAGAAGTGAGAATGAATGAGATCAGAAAGTTTCCTGGTGGAGGTAACTTTTGAGTTGGGCTTTAAAGGATAGGTAGGAATTCAACAAAGAGGAAAGGAGGACTGTTCTACAGAGGGGGTGAGAGTAAGGACCAGAGAGGACCTTAGGTTGAATGGAGCCTGTATAAAACTGGAAGGTTGGATAAATACAGGTTATGGAAGGCCTTGAATGGCAGACCAAGGAATTTGAATTTGGTTAACCAATAGGCAATTGGGAGGAGTCCCTAGAGAAGTTTTTGGCATAGGACTTGACTAGCATTGTGTTAAGGATCGATTAGACCAGGGAGAGACTACTGGGTGAGAAGTGATATCAGTGCTTAGGGAAAATTGGTTCAGGCAGTCTATAAATACTGGATTAAGGGGAGACAGAATAGAGGCATGAGGACATGTTAGGGGATAAATATTTTCACATTGCTTTGGTGAAGGGATTTGATTTTTGTATAGCTCTATTTCCCAATCTGCAAAATAGAGGAGGGAAAAAATGGGAATGGTCTAGGTGATTTTCTCAATTTCTTCCAGCTCTGACATTCTCTGATTCCTTTGTGTTAAGAATTTTGCTTGTTCTTTTTTCCAGTCCTCCCGTGACATACAAATATTCCTTTTTACATTTCTATAAGGTTAGGGAGAAAAAAAAACATTAAGTCATAAGACTTAGCAACTGATTGGATGTTTAAGTTGGAGGAGAGTGAATAGTTTAGGATGACCGAGGTTGAAGGGCTCCCAAATCCATTTCTTCCTTTCAACCTCTCCTTAGAACTATAGCTCTTTTTCCAGCCACTTGGAAAAAGTTACTTTTTTTTTTCTCAAATTCTTCCATCTGTATGCTACACTTGTACTTTAAACTCATTTGGTCCCAAACTGATCTTCATTCCTCATTCACCCTCCTCCCCCCAAATAAAGCTTCTCCTCCCTCCTAACTTCTCTATTTCTGTTGATGGTTTCACCATTCTCTTGGTCATCCAGACTTGAGACCTCAGTCATCTCTGACTTCTTTCTCACATAGCCAGTGACTTGCCAAATCCTGTCATTTCTACCTCTGCCATATCTATGTAATCACTTCCTTTGTTTCTATTACCACTGGAGTTACCCTAGGTCAGATATTTATTTCTTCTCACCTAGAGTATTTTATTGTTTTTCTAATTGGTTTCCTTGCCTCCTATCTGTCCCTGTTTCATTTTATGTTTCATGATGCTTACCTTTGATTCAGGAATAAAAGAGATCCAAGTTGTATTGAATTAATGTTCATACCCAGTGCTGGAGGACCAAACTTTGATTTAAGCACATGGCTAAAACACATAGATTGGGTTAGGGTATTTTGAAATCTGAAATCAAATTTATTCAGCCCCTCCCTCAGGCTCTCTGGTCAGGAAAGGATATGAATAAGTTCAAAGTCAAGGATTATTGTGCATCCTTTCCTCAGAGTATTTACAGCTTAAAATCCTGTAAAGCTCAGTTGGATTTAAGCCAGAACAATGAAGTGTGATTATATAATTTCAGGTTTCAGCAGGTTTTTTTGAGGGGACAGTGTTTTTTGTTTTGGAAAAATGCTTCTGAAATATCAATGGATGGACTCTCCCTAAGAGAGCCTAAGGATGGCCTTAAGGTCTTGTCATTGTCTCATAGGACAAATATTTATTGAGCAACACCCTTCTTTTTTTAGGTTTTTTTTTCTTATTAATTTATTTATTTTTAGTTTTCAACATTCACTTCCACAAGGTTTTGAGTTCCAAATTTTCTCCCCATCTCTCCCCTCCCCCCACCCCAAGATGGCATGCATTCTGAATACCCCTTCCCCTGATCTGCCCTCCCTTCTATCACCCCCCTCCCCTCCTCTTATCCACTTCCCTTTCTATTTTCCTATAGGGCAGGATAGGTTTCTATGCCCCATTGCCTGTATGTCTTATATCCCAGTTGCATGTAAAAACAATTTTTAACATATGTTTTGAAAACTTTGGGTTCTAAATTCTCTCCCTTCCTCCCTGCCCACCCACCCTCATTGAGAAGGCAAGCAACTTAATACAGGTTATACATGTGTAGTCATGCAAAACACTTCCATAGTAGTCATGTTGGAGCAGCACCCTTCTTGAAAAGTGTTTTTGTAGGCACTGAGGGGCTTGCCA